TTGTTATGTTGTTATATTGTTCCGACTGCCCACTCTTAAGAGATCTAATCTGAGAATGAAATAAAGACTCACTCTTGCTCAATCTTTCTTTCAGGATCTGAAGATCGAGATTAAAATGAAAATAAAAGATCTTCAGAGAACAACCGGAATCTTCGACAGATTCTGTCTCTCGGTGCTTGAAGCAAAACAAGAAATCATGACCCTATCTTTAAAGCCATTTCGCAAGAGATTTCTAATGATGCCACGCCTCAAATCTTTTATTTTCATCTCGATTTTGATTACGTTATTAAAGTGACGTTAATCATGATACTTAAGACTCATCATTTTAGATTATGTCGATTATCTTTGATTATAATAAATATAATAAATTATTCATCTCTATTTAGATTATAATAAATAAAAAAGTTCATAATAAATTATAAGAAATACTCAAAATATGTTTAGAAGTATCATGCCAATATTTTTCATATCTTTCAAGATGTTGCAAAGAAAATCAGAATCTTGGAAAGAATTTTCCAAAATTTCGACATTCGCATAAGCGCGAAACAAAAAGATACCCTCAAGCAATAATGCGACCTCGATAATAACAGTCTCTTGATCATCATGTTTACATGCTATAAATATACTTTTATATTGTAATCTGTAACCGCAGAAAAGTTGCATGTTGTTGGCTAACTAGTCTGAGCGGATAAGGGAAGGAAAGCGAAGCACGATCGATCTCACGATAGGAATAATCTCATGGGGAAGCAGCTTTGTCCGTCTGAGAAAGAACGTTTGAGAGATTGTGAGTTTCCAACGGCACAGATTGCGTAAACTATAGTCTTAATTATCTAAAAATATCTTTGTAACATCTAGGTCGTTAAATATATGTCCGCTCTTTCCCAAATTATGTATTTTTTAAATCTTAAAAGTTCACAAATATAACTTGAAAATTTCATATTTTATTTTTAAAATATTCTTTCACTTCGCGAGTAAAACAATAATAGCTATAGAATTCTTAGTTCTATGTAGATATTAAAATTTTTAATTTGAGATAAATGCTTTGACTACAAAATAAAATCAAAATTTACAAATTTTGTCTCCTGTAAATTTTTTATACAATACATTTATTTTATATAATATTATTAATTTTATATATTATTTTCCCTTTCTTTTTATTAATCGAACAAAAGAATAAAAAATTCTGTTGTTCTTTTTTGAACGAGTGAAAGAAGAAATTCTTACTGCGATTATTGATGACTGAAACGTATCCAGACTGACACGATTACCAGACATTATCCTTCAAGAATTATGCAAATGCCGTTCAAGAAATGCCTTAATAAAAGAACCGTGGCCACCCGTGAGAGCGATCTTGTGCTCGAAAAATAAAGAAGATAAATCCATTTGGACGCAAAACCGGCGCGATTAATCGATTTGCGCGCTGGGCCGTCACGGTACCGCAAATAGGTGGAGACATCCACGTTGTAGCAAATTACGCAAGCGAGACGCTTAGTTAACATGGCACCGGGTTACTTTCCCTTCCTTTACGATTCCTCGTAGGCAAGTAGCCGGAGCCGCAATAGCTTAGCAGCCGTAACTGCTCGCCTCAAAGCAGGATCGGCCGGCGGCGCTTTGCTCCTCGCGAGGATTTCACGCTTCGTGCAAAACATGCGGCTTCGGATGAGTGACGGTTTAAGGAAGTCCCTCGCTTGGAAGGATTTACGAGGAATCGATTTTGCACTGCAGGAAGAATTCTCGCGGCGTAGTATAGATTTGTTGGCGGTTCGGTGGATGATCAGCGCGTGAAACATCATCGTTAATTTTTAGAAAGTACACTTAAAAAATAATGCGCGATAAAAATATAAATGTCCTAATTTAAAAATAAAAAAATGTCTCAATGTAATTTCATCGTTAGATTCAGGGAAACGATTTTCTTGTACCAGAATTTTCACAGCAAAAAATAAATTTGGTCTACGAAAAATCGATGCACTGAGAAAAATGTACTAAATTTTAATAAATATTTATTTAAATAATGCCAACGTTTTATCGAATAAATATTTATTTACTTACAGTAAATAAATATTTATTCGATAAAAAGATGATTATTAAATTAAATTAATGGCTATTGTACCGAATAAAAATATTTTTACATTTAGTAAATATTTAGTATGATATACTATTCAAATAAATTATTTATTAAAATTTAGTATTTTTCACCTAAATTTTACTGAAATTAAGTTTAATAAAATCCCTTTTTTGGATCAATTTCACTTTACTTTCGTTAATTTTTCATTTTTGTTATTTCATTTTTTCAATACAAGTGGCTACTTATCAAAATTTTTAATTAAATATCACTGCATCAGTTAAGATAAAAATGTGTCTTGATAAATTTCTTAAAGATTAAATGTTACATAAATTACGCATTACCGGATTAGATAAAAAAATGCATTCGACTTTTATTTTCAAATAGCAAGGCAAATCACAAATATATCTTTTTCTCTCTTTTTCTATCTCTCATTCTCGGCCTTCTCACATTTCTTTCCATGAAAAATAAGCAAACTCGATCCGGTAAAACTTTCTTAGACCAGTAAAACTTAAGGAACGCAAAGTTAGTATCTCGTCTTAGCTCGATAAAGCGCAACATTTCTCGATAAAATCACGCCACGTCAGAACAACAATGACGTTTATGAGATCCGTTTCTCCTTTCCTTCCTATTTGCATCCTTTTTATCGTCCAATCAATAATTCAAGTCGAGCGAAACGTTTTACCCGATGCTATTATATCGTCACTTCCGGAACTGGTCAACGTTTACATTGCAACTCTGCGCTATAAGTGGGAAAACACAGGCGTGGGAAGCAGACAAATAAATGGATGAATGAATGGAACTTTTCTCCGCAAAGATTACGCACAGTGGCTGCCGATCAAGTCTCAAAGTAATATTTTCAAATGTCGTCGTAGAAAGTAAGACTTCTTGCGTAAGCGTTATAAAACTGAGTTATCAACAATCATATATTTTCAAAGAATTAGATAGATTCCTTCATGTAGATCGCTATCATTGATGTTTAATGAATTGTGATAAAAAAGAAAAAGCATTTATGTATATAAACATTATGATTCATAAAGAAGAAAAAAAGAGAGAAAAAGATTAAAAATTAAATTAAATAATACAAAAATAAAATTGAAATATATAAAAAACATATACAGAATTTTTTTTTATTATAGTAAAAACCAATATAAAAGTAAAGGAAAGACTAAATTATGCAAAAGAGATGCAATAATAAAATAAAATTTATATAAAAAGAATAAGGAAATAATATCTATATTCTAATATAATTCTAATCTAATATATTATTCTAATATAATATATTTATTAGACTGTTGTATGTATATAATCATAAAAAAATTTTTGATAATAAGAAAATAAAGATAATATTTATACACTAATTAAAATAACTCTTATTTAAAGAAAAATAAGATTTCTTAGAAATATTTGAACTTGAAAATGTGAGTGAACAATAAGTAGTTTCCACTAAAAAAAGTTGTTTACTAAATAATTATAAAACAATAAACAATTGAGAGAAAAATAAAAAAAAACAGAGAAAAAGAAGGAGAGAGAGAGAGAGAGAGAGAGAGAGAGAGAGAGAGAGAGAGAGAGAGAAAGAGAAAGAGAGTAAACTACAGGCTGAGCTACTTTCATATTTTCACTCCTGGCAGACGGGAGAAAGTTCTTGAGATGTGTGAAACCTGGTGAATGGCCACCATTGTTCTTAGGAAGATGCGTGTAATAATTGCGGAGCAATGGACCACTGTTTACTACAGATTCTGCACCTCGAATGTCGCGAGGATTGTGCAATGAAAATTGTTCTCGGGCTCATTATCTAACTTCACGACATTGTTTTCCTATATCAGATTAATATTTATGTAATTTTGTCACATAAAATTGCTCATTAGTTTTCTACTTTCGCGAACATGGAACTAATTTAATGAGATATTATTCTTAAAAGTTTGTGTCATTATAATTTTTATATAATTGATAATTATACATATAATATGCAGTTTTATTATGTAAAATTAATTGATTCCCTCATTTCCTTCAACACCAAAAAATTGCCGACAAAGAAATACAGAATTATTAATTAATATAGTAAATTATTCAGCGATTAATTTAATTCGCATATCTGCGAAAGTTAAAATCGATGAAAGAAAAAAACAAAACAAGAAAGAAAGAGAAAGAGAGAGTCTAATTGGCAAATTATGAATAAATGACAATTCCTATTCATTTGATATAAAACCTATAATATTTCTTATTTAATACGAAAGTGATAAACTACTACTAGTTAATCATACATATCGATAGAACGATATGATAATCGTACAACCGCTCAATAAGAAAACGAAATAGGTCGCTTTCGTGAATCATCGATCTCACGAAGGACATAAGACGATCACCTTTAATCAATATAACATCTGCGATTATCGAGGATTCGCAAAAGAAAGTAGAACGATCCGCATGGTTTTTTAGTTTCACTAAAATGACGATGGCTGCGTGGAAATTTCACCGTTTTCGCACCTCGCTCAACATGTCTTGGTTTTATTGATCGACTCTTATTATTTATAAAGATAGCCAGGCGAACGTACCTATCTCGAAAGTGAAAGCCAAACGGTCGATAGATCAAGTCAAGATCAAAGGCGATCGACTTCTAAAAATGTCAGATATTCTATGATTTAATTTAAACAAATATATTGCTCAAAATTTGTTTGTATATTATCGAGAAAGAGATAAATAAAATGACATTTAAATTATTAAAAATTATTAAAATTTATATAATAATCTTATTGTCAGAATAAATTATTGTTAATTAAAATTTCCAATAATTAAAAATTAATTAAATAATTAAGTTTTAGATTTATTTATTAAATCATTAATTTTTCATTAATGATGTTATTGAGAATAAAATTATGTAAAATAAAATGTAATTATTAAATTTTTTAAATAAAATTTAAATAATTTTAATTTAAATAATATCATTAGAAACATGTGTTAATAATTAACAAAATTTACAAAATTATAAAAACATAAAAATTATATTTACAAAAAAAATAAGAAAAATATAAACATTTAATTCAATATCTATAAGTATGCTAAATTTATCAAAATATTAAATTGTTATTAAAAAAGTCCTCTTTCATTAACAAAAAAAAAGTAGAAACATTTAATGAGATGTCCGTAGTTTTTTAATAACTTTATCCTTTATTTCCTTTTTATTAATAGTAATACATAATAAAATTTAAAAAATTATATTGTAATTCACTTTAACATTAATAATATTAAAAATGTTTTAATTAATATAAATGTAAACAAATATATATGTTTAATGTATTTACTTGCAAATAAATTAACAATATTAATCTACGATACATTGAATCAATCAGAGTCTGTAAGAACCTCATAGATAAAGCAAGGAATAACCAAGAAAGAGAAGTCGGAAGACAGAGGAGAGGAAAACAGAGAAGAAAAAGAAGAAGAAGAAGCGGAAAGACTCACCCTGCGCAGCCAAGAGCACCAGGACGAGCGGAAGTATCTGCTGCGACATCCTGAGAAAATGACGTGTACGATAACGCGAAATGTCAACCCCTAATCAGCAAAATATTCCGGTTTATGCTTGGGGTATATACTCTCTCTTTCTCTGCGTTGTCGTGTGAGAACCGAGGAAGCTCGGCTGATGAGTTTTCGTGTCGAGACTGGTCACTGGGAGAGGCGTTTGCTTGGTGTCTTATATGAGCGCCCCACTCTCCATCCCCGACCGATCTCTGGGGCCGCATAGGAAGGCTCTACCTAGAGGAACACACCTGGTTTCGTCTATCGGGAATTCTAGAACTGATAATAGCCTGATGACACCGTCGTAAAATGCATCCGCAGGAATCCCTTCATGTGATTCATTAGGAGACGATTGCACAAATCCTTAATAATAATAATAAGAATCGTCATACTCGACGATTTATTACACATTGAGGCCATTATTTCGTGCTTAATGCTTCGACTATTATTGTCTACATTTCCTTGGGAGTAAAGTATTAGCTGATGACCTCATTTTCTGTTTAGTTCCCATTAGGATCATTCGTATATGAATAACGTAAATTAAGACAAAACAAGATTTTCGATTTAAATGCCTTCAATCTAAATCTAAATTCAATCTAAATTCTGAGTAAATGCAAATGTAATTCTTATAGTAATGTTTCGGTAAATGAGTTAGTAAATATCTTACTTTGACAACCTCAAAATTCTTATTAAAAATATTTTTTCCGTCAACCTTTCTATATGTTGATAATACACATTATAAAAAAATAATCATTAAATAGATAATAATAATTATTATTTTATATTTATTTAAAATAGCAAAAGTAGGTAAATAGGTAAAAAGAAATTAGCAAAACAAATATAAAGATGAATAAATACATAGAAAGCATTTACAACAGTTTAACTAAATATTAAAATATAATTGAGAGTTGTCATAGAATTTGATGGGATGAAAATGAAATATATCCCTATAAATTATTTAGAAAAATTTTCATCTCGTATTCTGTCAAACTCTTCATATAAGTAATGTACTATAAATCAGTACTAACAATATGCGTGTTGAAAAACTTGCCTATTTCATTAAGTACAAATTTTCTGTGGATAAAACAACTTTGCCAGACTAGATGGAGCAAGACTAGTTAATAGTTGATATCATCAACGCTTCAGCTTATAACACGTACTCTTTTATGATCGAAGAACAGGTATCTGACTAAGAAAGAGAGGGGAAGTGAAATTCTGTTCCGAAGAAAACAAGATCGTCATGGAATACAAGTAAAATGTTTGCTCGTTAATTAGGAAGAAAATCCATTCAACAAAAATTTCATTTACACGCAGGAAAAAGAATTCATTCGAAAGAAATTTATTTTTAACCACTAGAAAAAGAAGAGTAGGTAATTACATTTGTCATGTCCTCTAAAAGAATTAATTTTTATAGTATACAATATTATATATACATATTATATATAAAAAATTTTTTTAATGCAAGCTAATTTAATTGAATTTTAAATTTTATTATTTTAATATCGAATATTTCAATGAAAAATTATAATAATATATTATGCTTCAAGTTTGTTTAGTTTGAATTTTAATTTATAATCTAATTATATTTAATTATTTAATTTCTTTTCAAACTCTTCTATCTTAGCTTCTATCTTAGCTTCAAATAATAATCAGAAAATCAAATGGATTCTATCATGAATCGCATGCCTCAGGATATCGCGATTATAATTATCGCGATTATAATGAAATATTCATAAGCATGTGGCGTCTATCTTTTCCGTTATCTCGAACCGCTACCGTTAACTGCAACGTTTATTTCGCGTGCATGAACGGCCTCGAGGCAAGGCCTTCACGGTTTCTTTCCCTTCCCGAGTATCCAGTCGATCAGCTTCACGCGATGAGACGGTGAAAATAAAGACGAAACACACTCTCGATGAGTCGCATGAGATGCCTACTTCTCATACAAATCGTGTCAACATGACAATATATACTTATATAATTTACAGATATAATATAATAATATAGGAGGAAGGGAGATTCAGTCCTAGAAAAACATTGCCTATTTAAAGGAAAAATGACTTTACATTGGCTGAATAATTTCAACATACTATAACATTTCGTTATTGTTTGTTTTGTCTGTTTACATGTCAAGCAATTTGTAAAACACTTATTTGTTATATTATGTATTGGTATGACGATTTTAATATACTAATAACAAGTGTAGAAAAATATAATGAATTAATGGCTTCTTTCTTTGCCATCTTTCATTCGTTTTCTCGTGCTCCAGTGGACCAGAATTTCTATAAACTCACGACTCCGATCCTAATCATTAAGAAATCCTAACATTCCAATTCTAACGGGAATTCGCGACTAAAGGAATTCGAGATGTTTCAAGAATGATCGGACAAGTTTTTTTATTCAACACCTTTATTCTGGTTGCAGAATCAAAAGAAAAATATTTCACTGCACACAAGTTAGGAAAATCCTTTCTAAGAATGTTAATGTATTCGTTTTCGTTTAAAAAACAAGATGGATATATTATGGATGGATTTTTATTACCGCATATTATATAACACTCATTCACAATGCATATTAATTGTACAAATGACAAAAGACAGACATCTTTCAACTTTCGAAATTAAAAGATTAAAAATATTACTCTGTGCTCTCTTCTCTCTTTTAACTCAAAACAAAGACTATGATTAATAGAAAACTACTACTATTGATTAATAGAAAACAGCAGTTTCTCGAATATGTATTTGGACCAAAACATAGGATATAAAAAATATTGCATTAAACGACCGGCGCTTTCCAAGGATTTTCACCGAGTGCTCTTATGCAAGTGAAGGCAACGACGGAGAGGACAAAAACGGACGTTTGTTGGATAAAATTATCACGATGCTCGGTGGGAATGGTCACAAGAGGAAACGAGACACATAAGAATGAAACAATGAGACGCCCAGTTTCGCAACTATCTCGCAATCCCATCCTCGATTTGCAAAAGAGGAGGTCGATCGTTAACGTATCAAATTACTCACAATCACGCGGATGTTTTGTTTCCTATTCCATGTAACTAAAGCTTGAATATGTAAAAATTAAAAAAAATTAACTATAAAAATAAATATATAATTAATAAAATTATCAAGATAAAATTATTATAAATGAAGATTGAAAAAATATTATATAATTTAAATTACTTTATAAATTTCT